CGGTGAAGTGTACGATTGGGGCTCTCTCCTCGGCAAGGCACCGCCTGCACAAAATTATACACACGACCTCCTCTACGCTGCGGTGCGCGCAATTTTGCGGGTGTATACAATACACAAGTATGTCCGAACATATTCCGTTCGGACAATTTCATTCGGACAAAATATGTTCCCTTAAGTCCAATACAAATATCAAGTATGTCCGACTGAAATTGTCCGAACGGTGCCCGCAAAGTGATCATATTATTCACCCATGTCATCCTAATGTCATCCACGCTTTTAATTCAAGAATTATATTATATTAACCATAGTGTCCAAGGTTGGTATTAATATTAAATGCTGTCCCGTACTACGTAGTAAGTCTTAATAAGTATAATACTACACTGTATACTATTTTAATAGTATTCATAGTAATTAAGTTACTATTTTAATAGTAACTTAATTACTATGAATACTCCGGAGTATTACAGTCGTACTCGTACTACTGTACAGGTAGTACTAAGTAAATTAATAATAAGTATTATTAATTAACTTTAGAGCACAACCACCCAGGGGAACCATATATTTAAATTAATTTTGAGTGTTTACAGTAAATATATAGTTTCAACATATTTATTTCAGCGCAGCAATTCATAATTGTACAAGTATTGCAAACACATAAACTAGAAATTAATAAATGTCGATTCGGAACAATTATTGCCTAAATTGTGGGTTATCAAAAGTTCTACCTAAAGGATGATCTAAGAAACAAGACAGGTCCTTAACTCGGCTAACGTTACTGAGGAGATGGTAAGTACTGTACATGGTGTCTCGGGCGTTTAGACGGTTTTATGGTTGTAGTTTGGGAAACTCTCTACATCAATAAAACGCTTAAGAATCAGTATTCGATTATGGAGAAAACCCTCAGCATAACTACTACTACTACGTAGTATTAATACTATTAATAAGCTTAGTATTATTAATAATAGTACTACTAGTATGTGTTAACCCCCTCGGATGATGGTGAACGATGTGATGTCGTGCGTTGGGCAACTGCTCGTCCCGTGCGCTTACATTCTGACTCGTACCGGTATACTGTATTCGACATGCTCACATTATTAGTAACTGTTATGTCTATAGTACTACAATACGAAGTACTAACGTTAGTACAGCTGTAGTAGCTAAGTCATTATGCAGCTGACTACTGCTGAGAAGGAAACATTGGTCATGTTCATGTTGAACCCTGGCACAGTTGCAGTCCCCAGCACGCCGTTGAGCCACGCGGACGAACTTTTGGCTCCAAAATTTCGTCGCCGAATGGGACCTACAGCCAGCAAGTACAGCTGCTTGAAGTTTGCCCTTCCAACGAGCAGCATGGCTCTTCAGCTTCGCGAAGTACGTATGACAGACCATAGAAAGCACATGCATCCGGTGAATTTCGAGACGGTCATATTCCTTTGCACGAATGCATCGTATAGGAATGTTTACTCCCTTGTGTAATACTAGTAATATATTTGAACAATGATCAATATTTTGCATTAGCAAAACAATTACAGTACTACTACTATTAATAGTAGTATTTATTATCGAGGTCGTCGAATGTCGTGAAATCTATTGGCCGAGGACATTATAACTAGACCTCGAATTGATGTATCGTCGGGTATTTTCGACCAATTGGAGGGACCGTCGTTACTTCTGACAATTCTGGATACAAATGCTTAGTATAGATAGTAGCTTTCAAATTTGGCCAATTATTTTACCGTCGGTGTGTTTTGCCTCCCAAAACCGCGGTGAAGAAGCTCTAGTACTGTACTAACGTTAGTACTGTACTGTTACTACCAATACTGTATGGTAGCTTCACAGATGAAGGAAGGAGATAATTGTGTTGTGTCCACCCATCTGGCCTCCACTTACTGTATTACTGTAGTACGAGGTAAAGTGAAGTTGGTGGGATATTTTGGCGTCGTACTGTAGAAACGAGTGTATATTTTGAGTCAGCTGACTTGAAGTGTAACCGCTGACGTTGTAGGACCTGCAATTTACTGTAACAATTTCGGCGCAGAGCGACGAGACGACGTCACGTGACGACAGTTTTCGCATCCAATGACCATATCGCATTATACGAGTCTTGTTACAGCAGCACAGAGGATGCAAAATAGACTGCTACTTTGTATGGAAAGTATGCAGCTGTGCATGACCCATGAGGTCAGCAGTACACATTTTCGCCGAACCAGCTTTTGAAACTTCAAGTGCGGCACACGATTTGATGTTGTACCATTTTATTTTATAATCTCGTAGTTTGTAACGACTGAAAGTGTAATTTAGAATGGTCTATTATATTTTTCGTTTTCTGCTCGTTTATGGCAAGAGGATCGGCGGTCGTGTATCTTGATGTTTGTATAACGTTGTATTTCATACCGTTACGGACGGATTCTCCACACAGTGCGACCTGAACCACAGTACGACAAACGTCCACTGACCACTGCCGCTGTCGCCGCCGCCGTCTGCACATCCTACCACGACTGTGTCATGGGCCTCGATGGGTACAAGTACATTTTATCCAAGATGAAGGCGAGTCGCGGCAACCAGAGCCGCCTTGGCAGTTTCTCGTCCATTGGATGCGCCACGTACGACTTCCATGGCGACGACGCTGTAGGATACGGCCCCAACTACATGGTGGTGGCAGATGGGGTGTCGGGAACGCAGAAGGCATCGGGCATCCTGGCGCGGGTCCTCGTCACGGAGACACTGAACGCCCTCGAGCGCTTACGGCGGAAGAGTCTGTTGGACCCAATCGTCGCCATCAAGTCGTCGGACTTTGGGGCCGAGATGGTCCGCGCCATTCGGGACGCACGCGCTTTGACGCGTCGACGAGGACGATTTGATTCCGCGCTCACCGCCGTATATGTGGACGCGGCATCGTCGCTACTGTTTGTGTTCAACGTTGGCGACTGCAAATGCGTCGTGGTTCGGCGCAATGTGGTGGTGTTTGAGAGCGACGCCACTATCTACGACTTCAATGTGCCCGCGGTGGTGTCCACGATGAATGAGATCCATTACCCCACCGACGCCGTGGAGATCCAGGTCGCCGCGTACGAACCTGGCGATGTGGTGATGGTGTTTTCCGACGGCGTCCACGACAACCTGTACGTGGATCAAGTGCTGCGCGCGGTGGCATCCCATCCGAACCAGGGCGCGGACATTGCAAAGGCCACCGTGAAGGCATGCCGAGACACATTTACGCGTCATTGCGGGTACATTCCGTTTGCCGTGGCGGCGGCGGGGTTCTGCCTGTCGGCCGTCGAGGAAATGAAAGCGAACGACGCGATCTCCTCTGCGGATTTCGAGGCGTTTGAAGCCAAATGTCGCGACCTTCCGCGGCCCCATACTCGTGCCATCTTTGGCAACGACAAACGCGTCAAGAACTTGGCATTCTACAGCGCGTCCAACCTCCTCACATTTGCCAACAAGCAGGTCGGCAAGAAGGACGACATCTCTGTATGTGTGGGCGTGCTGGCCTGATGATCGATGATGCTCTTTGTATAAATTTAACTTAATTCGAATGGAACGTTGATGTTTGGTTCATCCTGGGAAGTTCACGGTGTGTACATGCATGAATTGAAGCTCAGGGAAACATACAAAGGTCTCCTATGAAGAGAATGCTGGAAGCATCGCATGTGCATGAAGCTAGGCCATGTAATCCCCTCGTAGACCCAACATGGAGCTGTGAACGAAGGACCAGATTGCATTGGGCGGTCGTCACCTCGTAGCTGCAACCTGAGATTTGTGCGATCTTGTTAAACTAGGTGTTTCTATCATCCGGATACCATTTCGACTGTCGACAGATTAAAATACACGTGAACATATGGGAGAACGAACGAATTTAATGGTGGGCTGCGCCTGTCGTATCCGGAAACTCCCTCACTCACCGTGGAATCGAACTCAAATATGGTAATTATGAATTGTGTCGCAAATGCTTCGCAATTCACGGCGCGAACGCTGACCATTTATATGAAATACACTTGAAAAAGCACAAAATAGTCTGCCGCAAAATGCATTTGCGACGTATTTGCGACCCATATCAAAGGTTGGATATTCGCAACCAGCTGGTCATCAGAACCAAAAACTACTGTACGGCGACACCTCCAACCCCATTTTCCACCGCTGTAGTGACTTCATCGGATCACGACAATCTTCTCTCTGACACTTCTCGCTGCGTTATATCGTCGCCTCGTCCCTCGACTAGCCCAGATTCCTCATGCTTGCTGACATTCGTGCTCGGGATAGCAAGCACACGCTCGAACGGCGCGCCAGCGAAGCCATCGTGCATGGGGCCGTGGTTGCCACCGGCCTGCAGCAGCAGCATCGCGGTAGCAACGACGTGTCGTTGTTACAACGCCGACACAGCGAAGACGTCGACTCGTCGTCGCTGTCCATCAACACATCGTCGACGTCGACGCCACAGGTCGTCAAGCCGCCAGACGCCATTACGTTCTTCCTCTCCGTGACAGACCTCAACCTGCAGGGCACCACCAGCACGACAGATCATTTGCTTCGCAGTGCCATGTCGCTCTTCGGTGGAAAGAAATATGCGACACCGAGCGCGGCCAAGACCCACGTGCCCGAGAGCCTCGTGCACATCGACCTGCAAAGCCGGCTGCGGGAGACGCTGCCGTTCCAAACCGAGAAGGTCCGGAGTCCGAACCCGTCGTTCTGCCTCGGCATCTCGATCCCTGTCGTGGCGCACGAAATGTCGGCGCAAGTGCTGTGCTTCAGTATCGTGCTCACGGAAGAAGGCAACGGCAAGACCGTCGCGTACACCGAACTGTCCATGAAGGACCTCGTGCGCAAGTTTGTCCACGGCACGTCGGCGCACATCCACCTCCCGCTCAAGTTGCTTACCACATCCAACACGGCCAAACCCATGACCAAGAAGGCGGCGCCCGTGCTCACACTCAAGCTGGCGCGGGTGGCACCGCGGTCCCATGTGCTGTTCCGGTCCGAGGACAAGATGATGCGGAGCTATGCGTTTTACAACGGCGAGTACTCGACCCCCGTCGTCGCGACCGAGGAGGCAGAGGCTGTCGACAGCCACGCAATCGTGCCGGCGCTCTTTCTCAAGGAAATGCTGGGCGAAATGCAAGCCAGTCTCGACTTGTGGCAGCTCCGGTATGAAACCAAGACCCCGCGGACCACTGAGCCCAAGACCAGCCTCTTTCGGAGTCATGACCCCGCCCTCGACCGCCTCCTCCAGGACCTCCATCCCCCCCTCGATATGACGTACACGTCCGGGTTCCTTGAGGGGCATCTCATGACACTGGAAGCGCAAGTGACCGAGACCCGCGAGATGATGGGGCTGGCGCAGCTCCTGGACGATAACCACGTGCTGTTCAAAGCTAGTGCCGCCAAGGACAAGCGCGAGACGCAGGCGATGCCGACCAATTTGTGTCTGTCGACGTTTTGCTTGTACAAGAGTCAAGATGCGACACCGTTGCAGCGCATGCGGTCCCTGTCCATGGATATAAACGACATGACAATGTCCAATCCTCCGTCGTCCACCCCCACGATTCAACAGTCACCCACCCCCCCACGCAGCAGCAGCATCCCCAGTCGCCGCACGTTGCAAGACGAACTTCGCCAGCAACGCAAGAAAGATCGGTCCGTGTCGATTGACATGACAACAACGAGTAGCAAGGCGGACGTGGGGACATTGGTGGTGGACGCGACGGTGACCATCGTGACGTGCGCGACGCCGTCGGCGGACGCCCTCCCCGACCACACGACGTCCACCGCGGGGCTGCGGGACCTCGAAGACGAACTGGTCCAAGTGGCCACGCAGCTCCGCCATCTGCTGCAAATGGAAGTGTTTGCCGAAGGCGGCGTTGGCAGTATTCCTGCGACACCGTCGTCGATGCTCTTGGCCGGGCGAAAGTCGGACGTGCTTAGCTTTGACGACGCCCTGACCACGTCCACCACTTTGGACGAGAACCGATCGAGCTCGCACGGGTCGAGCGGCGGCGGCGGCGGCAGCGGGGAGAGCGGGCCCAAAGACGACGACTCGTCCACCGTCGGCAGCAATTCCGACCACGGCCACAGCATCTTAACCCGGTCCGCACGGAGAGGCATGCAACTGTCGGCATCCTTCGACGCCACGGCGAAACGCATGTCCAAAGTACGCAGCGACTCGATTGATTGGGTGAAATCTCGCGTGCGGACGGAATCCCTCGAGTGGTCGCGGTCGTCGCGCGACTTGTTGGCTGACGCGGGGGGTACTGGCGCCGCGGACAAACTCGCCAGTCTCTGGACAAAATGGGAGCACACCAAGGCAGCGTACGTGTTTCGAAAGGTCGTGTGTGTGTCGCAGAGTGTATCGGTGCTCGTGGCCGCGTTCTTGGCAAAGTTGGAAGCAATTTTGGACGTGCCGATGGAGTTGGAGCAACTTGGTCGCATCGGGTTTCTCTTGGGGTGGGAGTGCTTGTTGTTTGCCCAGGGTGGCAAGGAGCAGCGCATGCTCTCCGACACGTTCGTCGCGGTGAAAGCGTTGGAAGGGTTCTCCATTACGTTGGTCCCGCTCCGAGAAGTGGGGGCTCCGTCGTCCCGGGTGTCGTTTACGTCATCCACGTCGATTCAAGTGGGGGTGCCGCCATCCGTGTACCACAAGCTGCCGCGGCGGCTACAAGTGGCCCGCATCCGCGTACACACGGCCATGTTTTCCCAGGGGTTGCATGAGATGCAGAACCTGGCGAGCTTGGTCAATGCGACAGGGTTCCAGCTACAGGGCGTGGTGAACCGCGACGGATTTCAAACCCTCCAGCGGTACCACCGGTCGTTTCTGGATATGCAAAAGGAGATGAACGTCCACATGCGACACCGTCTCAATAATGAGACCCTCCTCGATGCCCTCATGCCTTTGGTGGGCCGCAACGCCAAAGTTACGACGAAAGCGCTGTACGCGTCGTCCAACACCCTCATGCTCCTGGAGGCGGCCGATATTGTGCGCAAGATGAACGGGATGCGCGTGACATGCTGCCCCACGGGCGCCGACCACACCGCCATGTCTGTGACACTGGAGCAGGCCAGACTGCTCTACTCGAAGCGCACGGCCAACACGAACGCGAGCACCGAGGACCACGACGTGCTCAAACCGATCGCGAACGTCATGCGGGAATATGGTGTGCGCATCGCCGTGGCCATGAAGAACACGGGGCGGTTCGAGTATGGGTTCAATGCAATCCAGAGGAAGCTCCTCCCGGACCTCTACCGCCCGCCCACGTCCACGATCCAAGAAATGACGTCGGCGTTCTTTTGAGTATTGTTATTAAATTGCAGGGACCCATCATCATTATTGGCCAACTTTTAAAAATGAGATGAGAAAATTATCACCGTTGTGAAATGTCTCCACAAACAAGAAACTGTTGGTTGAAAAAGTCTATTTTGACCAATCGATGGACTGTTCGAAATGTACGAATTGGCTTTTCATTGGTCGAAAATTCTCGACATTGAGATTGCAGCGATGCCGCTGCGGCCATGCGTAGCCGACGACAAGATCGAAGCGTATATGCGACGCACGAAAGGGTTTTCCTTAGGACTACTACTTGGCCATCGAAGTTCGAGCAACCTCAGCGATCTCGTCTTGGCCGCGGTTCCTACGCCCCCGGAACAAGGTTCGAACGTGCACACAGAACCATCATCGACGGGTTTGTAGATGGCGGCAAGTCAACGCAATTGTCGGACATCTCGATCGATTGGATGGTGCTACATGCCACTCAAGTGCTTGGCTACCTCCCTGGAGGAATCGACTGTTTGGGGATGTATGTCGTCGCACGGGATGCCGCCACGTCTTTGAACGGGATCAAGCTACATCGGCACATGCTCGCATTACGCCAAGTTCAAACTCGGTTAAAGAAGTCGCTGCATGCTATCTCTGACGACGACTGTGTGCAATACATCGCCGTTGCTTCTCCTGGTGTGTCTCCTGTCTTCAAAGCCCTCTCAAAGGTGTACATATTCGCACCTCGACCTCGTTGCACTCATAGTGTTGTACTATACGTATACATATTGTAGGGCAACGCGATGGTTCCCGTGGATTGCAAGTGGCAGCCAGACGTTGCGACCACGTTTCTGCGGAGGTTCACATGCTCGATCGAGGTTCCCATCATCATCGCATCGCCTCCGTCGCGGTCACATACATGGTGGACGACGCGGCTGCATCGTCAGCTTCAGAATACCATATCCATCGCAGACTCGTCGGACCACGTGACATTTCTACGCGCATTAGCAAGCTCTGGGAACGGCACCGACGACGATGGCGTCCGGACGTGTAGCACCGGCACTCCATCGCGCTCTCTGCAAACCATTCAAGGTAGCATTCACTGCGTTGCGTACGTACACCGCAAGGTAGTAGTCCCGTCGTACCAGTGTATATCAAAAGGGAACAGTAGTTCATTTCACGTTGGGGGTTGATTAGACCAAAACCATTGTGGACGTTGCTGCCGATCGGTTGAGAGAAGATGGTGTGCACAGCTTAGCCACTCGGCTAGCCGCCCTGGACAACGACGACCAGTCGACAGATGCAGAAGGTATGTTCAGCGACTGAACCTGTTTCACTGGTGATTTCAATGGATTCTTTGACCTTATACCCCACCGGTTGCATAGAATCGCCCCACGAGGCTTCGCAAACAATGGCGCTTCCTCGACGTGCCGTGTTCTCGTGGTGCAGCGGTGGTGTTCCTGCAGGATTCGACGGTCTCTTGCACGTTGTGGAGGCGCACGAGTCATTGGCGGACAGCCTGTCGAATGCCAGGGAGGTGTTGGGAGATGCATCCTCGATCCTCCACGCCACTTGGGTGGAAGAAGCTGCAAAGGAGGTGCCAGTGTGGGCGGAGAAAGTGGAACCGACTTGCAAATCCCCCTGGCTTACGCCAGAACCCATCACGCCCACTAATACTGTGACCAGCCACCACTACTGGCGATTGACTACCGGCTCTATGGCCGCGGCTCTGAGTGTGCTGGCGTTGGCCTTATTGTGGCTACGCTACAGTAGTACACTGTTACCTTTGTAGCCAACATACACACAATCATGGCGGCGAGAGGGAATATGCATACACGAGGTTGTACTTTTTGAGTCAATAACGTAATCGTAGTAGTATTATAAATAAGAAAAACACTAAATAAAAAGGACGGGCGCTAGCTGGCTGGCTAGTACAACGCACTAAAGTTCCACTCGACAGCCCGCGCGAGCTTGAGCTTTTCCGTATAAAAGTCCGAGTACGTGTGTCGCTCGATGGTGTCGTAGTCGCTGTCGTCGTACTGGTCAAAGTCCATCGTGGACGAGCACGACTCTTGGGTGGTAGGGCTGCTCACGGGTTCGGCGGATCGGCTGCCGGCCACTGCTTTGGGCTCGGACATGGCGACACCACACGACATCTTGGACAGGACTGGAGCCAACATCACAGTCGTCGCTTGTTCCTTCTCGGACGAGAGGGAAGCCGCAACCGCATGCGACGGCGCGTTGCAAGACGTGCTGTCGATCGTTGTCAGTGGGATGTCGGCTTTGGCCGCGGCCGCGCGAATTCCTTCCGACACAGCGAGCAAGTACACGGCGTTGGACTGGCAGTCGAGGGAGCAGAAGCCAGCAGTGGTACATGGGCTAAGGAATTTGAGGTAGATGTGTTTGCAGTTCTGGCACATTTCGCGCTTGCTGTCCCATGCTGAGACGGCCACATCGGAGCGGCGGCGGGAGGCGGTCGTAGTGTCGTCAAACGTGTTGGCACGTGGCCGGCTGCTATGTGACGCTTGACCATCAGCGTCTTCGCTGTCGTTGTCGCTGCCGCCGCGGATATGCTGGGTGATCGGATCCGGACACGACTGAACCTGTCGCGGGTTAAAGATGCCATGGACCCACGTTTGGAACATGTTTGGCCAACGACGGAATTTATATAATGGAGAAAAGTCCGGCGTCTAATGCACCAGCAGTAGCCCAATAGCGCACAACAGATGCATGTACCGTATTTAGTGAACTTGCTGAAACGGCCCCATTCGTTGAGCGAGCCCTTCCCCCGTACCGTCTGGCGAGTCCGAATAATCGAGGTACACCTCTATCATTCTGCCATCCAGGTCAGTTAAGGTACACCTCTATCATTCTGCCATCCACATTCGCCATCCTGTTCATCTCTGCATTGAAATACAGCATATAAGGCTTCTTTATCACATTAAAGCGCTCTTCGAGAGGGTACGCATGCTTTGCTGTCGTCATGGGATGCATTCTTGGGCAGATTTGGCGTTCAGGCCGCCGTGGTACCAGGCGAAAGTCGACACCAAACTTATCCATGGATACCAGTTGGGACGATGGGATACCTCGCTTGTGATTGGCTCCTGAAAATATAATGAGTGGGAACATATCCAAATCCAGTTAAGTTCGGACCTACGATAGTAGTACGTGCCACGAGTATCTTAAATGCGATGAGTTTGTACTTGATATTTGTATCTGATGCTTGAAGGACAATTCGCTTCTTGTGATGAGCTCGCCTCGTTTCATACTAGGACGTTCCTGCGGGAAGTGCCAGGTACAGTACTGTACAAACTTCAACATCCCCCCACCTGATAGGAGAGTTGATACTTCGACTAGTAATTACAGTACCCGTAGCCAATGTTTCAAGTATAAATAGTGCAAGTGTACCTGGCAAGACAGCAGTGGCCTAGCGCTACAATGCAACTAACTGCAAGGTCTGAAAGTCGGGGGGCAACGACGCCGATGCGGCGCCCGAGATATGGTATCGGGGGGTGAGCAGAATTGAAGACAAATTGATGGACACGTGTCAGTTGGGAAAACGAAGTCTCAAACGTTTGCAATCCCCAAATGAAACACGTGGGAAGGTTCATGGGTAATGGGTAATGCCTTGTCAACTTTGGGCAGTCAGCCATCTACGTTACGGTATTTGAAGTTTGTATGTCGTGGAGAAAGGGTGAAGACAATCTGACGGCCATGCTGGCCTGTGAAAATTGCAAGCGGGCTGGAGGTACCGGTATGTGATCGAGCCATCGTTTCCTGAAGTTGCGTGCCGTGTTTGCTCCTGACTTCCAATATTGGGTGACTCCTCACTTGTCAACAAAGCTTCGGGCAAATCCTGCCTTGTAAAAGACAGTGTAAGTTGTCAACAAAGCTTCTGGCAAATCCTGCCTTGTAAAGGACAGTGTAAGTCACTCGGTGAAATCAGATACTGCACCCACTACCCTCCATTGACTTGATGTTTGTCGCATCAATGACATCTGACCTCCTTTCTTCCCTTTCCTTGATGGGGGGATTGGTGTCGTCCATCTACGGTAGATTGAACAGACAGCAAAGTCGACATTGGACCTGCTAGAAGCGAGGAAAGGCGAGTTCTACTCCCTTGCTGTATGTGTTGAATGTGTATGTGCCGTTGAAATTGACACTTTGCTGATCCATGCGACGAGGCAAAAAAACAAGCCTGCGCCTGATTGGCTGGAATGTTGTCGAATGCTTCAATACTCTATCCACTGTAATGCGGATTGACATGTGAGAATTAGTGCTGTCTCCACTACTATTACTAGTACTACATACGTACTACTAGTATACGTATACTAGAATTATTGTTAGAGCATCTCCAACAATGTTTCTATTTCTATTCGAAGTTACGGATGTAGAATAGAACTCGTGCACTATCCGGAGGGTTTATTGCTTTTTGCCGAAATTCTGCGGGACGTAATTTCTAAATAGTCCGGATAGTGACAAAATATCAACGCAGTTTGACTGTTACCCAATGCTCTGTAGCAATAGGTTAGGATTTACCGTTGGAGATGCTCTTAATTGTATCTGGGATGGAATTCCCATTTATGTGGTTGGAAATTACTACGTATTAATAGTAGTTTTTTCGTGCAATATTAAGTGTTTGAGGAGTACTAGTATGCTACGAGGCCCAATTTCTCTGGAAGTCATATCGAATACTAAGAGCCTGTTCCAAGTAGAATTGGAAAAAAACGAAAAATGGGGTGACAAAATATTTATACATATTTACCCATTTACGAAACAAGATCAACACTCCGATAGTGAAGTTCATACTTTATTTTGAAAGAGAATGATGGTTACGAAACTTGGTATTTCATCCCATTTTCTACCCATTCTATGATCATGATTGATTGGACATAAATCATTAGACTAAGATGCATGCTGATTGGTCAATAACACAGTGTTGTCGGCGATGCACAGAAAGGTGTGGCGGGTGCAGCGCAGGTGGCGTGTGAACCATCCGTCGTATGTGCCGTCGGACTTGACTTGCTGCCACGTGGTACTGGGTACGACAACAGTGTTGATGCCAGGGGCGCGGTTGCTACGTTCGTCGATCGAAAGGCGGCGCCAACGACAGCAACTCACGCTGCAGTGGTCGAGTCCATCATGTCAAATTGAAAAGTTGGAATGGGATTGGGATCAATGATTGGATAGTGGGCATCCATTATTAGCCAGTCATTGGCGAAATAGCTGAGGTGCCCAAAATGGGATGAAATGGGGTCATGTACCCCATTTTGAAAAATGGATTTTGTAATGAGTTGGGGAGCGTTTTGATTGGATAATGCCCATTTTGAAAAGTACTTTTCATTAGAGCCTGTTCCAAGTACTTTTCAAAATGGGCATTAT